AGCACTTCAGGAAGCCTCTGAGTGTTGGGGTTGGGTGAGTGAGGTGAACCTTGTGTTGGCAGGTGAGGTGGACGAGGGTGGAGTGACCTACCTCACGCCATGAGAAATGGATGGAGGATGCAGGACAAGAGCCCATCTGCCCCCTGTTCCTGTTGAGGTTGCTCTCAGGAGTGAGGAGGAGCATGCTAGCCATGTCCCCTGGCTTGGGGGCAACCTGCTGCTCCAGGTGCCTTGCCATCAGCTGGGCTTGTCACATCTAACAGTGCAGGTTAACAATGCAGTTCATGTGCCATTGCACAATCTTCCTGTAATAAGTCTCCTGGAAGTTGCTTTTGATCCAAGTGGTGGGTTTGGGTGACAGTGGGGGTTCTTAGAGCCAATCCAGTAAATACTCCCAGTGGAGTCCTGATGATGCTCATGATGATGTTAGATCATCCTCTCCCAAGAGATGCACCCCAGGGCAGGTTGAGGTGTGTAGTCATGTCAGCAAGAATCAGGACATTTGGATAAATATTCTTGTGAATGCCTCTGTTGTGTAAAGCCAATGTAAAGGAAATTTCTGGGTAGGAGCTTTTTCCACACCCATATCAACTAGAGTAAATAAGGACCCCAGCAGTAAAACTCCTCCTGGAGAGGGTGATTCATGGTGAAGCCTTCACTTCCCTTTCTTTGAGATTCATAATGCAACAGAGCCAGTGAAGATACTTATCTTTTGCTGTTGAACTTCCCTCTGCATCTTTCTCCTGTTGGTTGCCAAGGAGAGAACCCAAAGACAACACAGCTCAAGAAGAGCAGTGGTGTTTGATAGCAGCTTATGGTCACAGTGGGCATGCAGAACTCGAGTTTAGGGGTTCTGCATCCTGATAAGGTCTGTGAGAAGGTGTGGGATGGTTTAGACCAACATCTGCTTCTCCTGAGAGGAGAAACTCTGCACCATCAGGCTGTGGTTTTGGCTGCTGTACCTCTGTGTCACATTTTGTGACAGCAGACTGTGGGGCTACCTGGGTTAGAAGTCCAGATTTATGGCTGCTAGGAGGGCTGGGAAACAAGTTTGTTGAGGTTACAAGCTGCAAGACTAGTGGGGGAATCATTTGGCATTTTGAAGATGACCTACCCTACATATTTGAAATACTTTTTGTCGGGGAGCACTTTGATAAAATCTTTCTCTACTTCTTACAGTCCAAAGTGAAAAATAAATAGATGTTTGATTTATATTTAGCTTTTCTTAAAAAAAGACTCTTGAAAAGAGACCCTTTGGGGGAAGTTGTCAGTGCCTTGCATTGCCCAGACACGGTGAACTGAGCAGCTGATTAGCATCTGACTGTAGCAGGAGCTGTACAGCTTCTGACTTGAGGAGCAGAAACAGAACTGGATGCCTGGAATTCAGTGCTGGAATGGTGAGAATTCCAGAGTGGGGGAGAGCTTCCTACCAGTGACACGTTCCTGCTGCCCACTGCTGTGTAGTGGGCTGTGTGTGCTGCAGCAGGGCTCCCACGCTGGGCTGGGTGCAGACTGGGCTGTCAAGTGGCCACTAACTCAGTGAGCTTCACTTGCCACGGGCCAAGACTCTGCTCCCAGCCTGTCTCCATCACCAGGGAGCAGAGAGCAGCCCGTGCCCTGAGCCCCACTCTGCCCACGAGCATGTGCCCAGCCACAGAGGTGTCTGTCCTGGCAGCACTCTGGGGCCTGCCCAGGGTGGGTGAGAGGCTCAGGGCTGCAGGCACCTTCCCCAGGGGGCGTTTGCAGCCCTGCTGGGAACTGCTGCAGCTTCTGGAGCCAAATACACTCCTGTGCTGGGGCTGGCGTGGCAATGGCTGGGATGTTCAGACACCTGTGTTGTGCAGGCAGGATCCTTCAGGATCCTGCAGTTCCCACAGAGGTCCTAAATAAGCTTCTGCAGATGGTTTGTCTCTCTCCCCTCTGTGGGGTTTGTCCTGCCCACTCAGGTGGCTCTGGCTGGAGCTCAGCACCTCATGCTCTGGGCTGCTGGGGGATCCCCACTCCCTTCAGACAGCAGAAACATCTGCTCAACTGCACGCTTATTAAGTTTTAATTTCCATCTATCCTCTGCTGTCTTTATTAATCTACAGTGATTTGGAACAAAATTAAATGGCTGCTTGTGGTAGTCAGATGAGAGTAATGTTTCCTAAGCCTTCTGAGCCTGGGTGGGGGAAGGAAAAAGCCCTCGGTGAGTGTCTTGCCAATGAAACACAACAGTCCTCTGAGGAGGTGCTTGCAGAAGGGCTGCAGAGTGCTGTGAAATCTGGGGGGGTTTGCCTTTTTGTGTGTTGAGGAACCAGTTGCTTGAAGAAAAACTGTAGAGTTTGTCAGTTTTGAGGCAGAGATGTGTTTTATATTCTGCATAAACCTCGGGTAAATAGCACTTTTGGCTGAGAATTTTTTATGGCTCTTCCAGAGAAGTGTATTTTTAGAAACATGGGCTTGCTCTTATGTAATCAGCCAGTCTCACGGGACAGCCTAAATAGAACCAGAAATAGCAAGAGATGACAAAAACTGGTACAGAGTTTTTGACCAAAAACATAACAGGAGAATCTGCTGGGAAGCTGGACCTGGAGGAGTGTGTTGTCCATCTTCACCTCCCCATTCAGTGCCTCTAGAGAACCCATCAGCAAAATGCTTCTCCTCCTCAGCATTCAAGCTGTATGGGTAATGAGCACGAGAGTGAAGAATCCTAGAAGACTTGGGCTTATTATTTACATAATGCTTTAGTAACAAGTTTGTAATTAAAATCTGCTGAAGGCATCGGGCTCAGATGTTCCTCTTGGCGCTTGGAAATCGGCGGTGTCTGAACGTGAGGCTTGATGATGCCCCACCAAAGATAAGATAAAACAGTTATTTTGGCTTTGTTTGGCTCTACAAAGTCCTGAAATGGGGTTCGTTGTTCTTCCTCTCCACCCTAGGAACACTGGAGCCCCACTTGTCAGGCTTGCTGTGGACAGCCATGCTCATCTCCCTGGCCATCGTTATCGCGCTCCCGAAGCCCCACGGCATCCGAGCCTTAATCGCCTCCACAATATTGAGACTAATATTTTCAGTTGGTTTACAACCTACTTTATTTCTTCTGGGTGCATTCAACGTAAGTATCGAGTGGGCTTTGTTTGAAGTTTCTCTTGTATCTTACGTAAGGGTTTGTTACCTGCTTGTGAAGATGTCAGGCAAAATAGCCTGGGATGTTGTGGTGGAGCTGGTGGGAGGAGTAATTCCCCCGTTGGACTGTTAGTAGCAGAAGTGCTTTGCTGCTGTTCATTTAATCCTGGTTCCCCAGGCTGGAGAGCTCTAAGGTTTCACTCAGTTTTGCCACAGTCTAGAAACAGCTCCCACCCCAGCCAGAAATGCAAGGAAGCCTGTGTGACCGTGGAGCACACAGTTACTCGCTCGAGCCCATCTCCTGCTCAGTGACTACACTACGGTGCTTTTGGGGTTGTGTAAGACTCACTAAACAATGCATTTCCCAAATGTCTGTCTGCAGTCTACCTGCCAGCCAAAAACTGACACTAAGCAGTTTTGCTGCAGTCATGTGTGGCCTGAGCATGCAAAGCTGAGCCACCAGAGAACTCAATTAACGCTCAAACCCGGATACTTGTGGTCTCTTGTGGCCAGAAGGGTTTCTCTCTGAGTCAGCAGGAGCTGTGCAAAGATGCATCTTCACTGAGGCTTTGCCTGCATTGCGAAGTGCTCGGCTTACAAATGCCTCATGGACCTGGGGGCACTGGTCAGTAGCCAGCTGAATACGAGCCAGTGCTGTGCCCAGGTGGCCAAGAAGGCCAACAGCTTCCTGGCTTTCATCAGCACTGGTGTGACCAGCAGGACTGGGGCAGAGGTCATCCCCCTGTACTCTGCACTGGAGAGGCTGCCCTTCAATTAGTGGGTTCAGTTTTGGGCCCCTCACTCCAAGAAGGACCTTGATTGAGGGGCAACAAAGGAGGGGTCTAGAGCCCAAGTGTGGTGAGGAGCAGCTGAGGGACCTGAATGAAGGAGGCTCAGGGGAGACCTTGCTCTCTACATCTCTCTGAAAGGTGGTTGGAGCCAGGTGGGGGTCAGGCTCTGCTCCCAAGGAACAACTGGGAGGACAACAGGAAACGGCCTCAAGTTGCTCCAGGGCAGTTTTAGGTTGGATCTGAGGAACAATTTCCTCCCTGCAGGGGTTGCCCAGGGCAGTGGTCGAGTCCCCACCCCTGGAGGGGCTTCCAAGCTGTGGAGATGTGGGGTGAGGGACACGGGGCAGTGGGGACCTGGCAGTGCTGGGGGAATGGTTGGACTGGATGATCTTGAAGGTCTCTTCCAACCAAAACAATCCTGTGATTCTATGATTTAAAAGCACTCCTTGTCTTCAAAATATGTCACTGGGTGCCCTGCACTGCAGAGTCAGAGCTGCACTGTGAGAGTGGTGCTGGTTGTTATTGGTAATTATTGGTAATTGCAGCATTTTGTGGGTTCCAGGGGAGTCAGAGGCAGCTTTCCTTCTGGGGTTGACGTCTGGTGCCTCACAGGAGGATTACTGGGTGCAGTTGCTGAGGGCATCTGGAGCACTTGCTTATTAGCAAGCCATGATGGGTGTTCTGGTGTTGGGCTGCTGCAAGCTAGAGAGTTCTTTGGCTGCAGAAAGTGGCGTGCTTAGGAGAGGGGTTGGGCTTTTTGGTAACACTTCTCTCTCACACCAGGGAGTGGTTTTACTTCTCCAAATCTTAGTCTTGATGCCCTTTGAGAACAAGCTGGAGACAGGAGTCAGTGCTCGTGTTTTATTAGACATGTGCAGTTCCAGTTTTGGCTCGTTGTCTCAGCTATGCAGAAAACAGCAGAGAGCAGGTTTGGAGAGACATGTAAAACTCTGCCATGGAACAGAGAATTCAGTTTGATACTGCAGGGAGCCTGGTTATCTCCAGCTTTGAAAAATGCCCTTTTCATCCAGAAAGCCACGTGTTGTAACTAATTTATGGTTAATCCTTCCGTAGGTTTGTAATAAAATAATTTTTCTGATGAGCTTTGTGGGTAACTGTGGAACCTTCACTAGAGGATACAAGGCGATGATCATGGACGTGGAGTTTCTGTACCACCTGCTGTACCTTCTGATCTGTGCTCTGGGGCTCTTCGTACATGAGTTCTTCTACAGTTTGTTGGTAGGTGTTCACTCTGTCTGTTTGTCAAGTCCCATCTCGAGTGTATCTAGAGGTCATGCACTGCTTGCTTTCTGTTTCACTGCTGGGAAGCCCTTGGACAGGCACCAGTAAGAGCTGTACACTGGAGATGAGGCTTGGGAGAAGTTATGGTGGGAGACTACAGGACTCCTGCCACATCCCCTCTTCCTTATTTGCTCAGACAAGCAGAGACTATTTTGTTCTTCTCAAGTTTATTATACCAGATGTCTTTAAATTTAGTTAAAATTGCTCATTACAGTAAATGTGCATGCAGTTAGAATGAAGGTTTTTACCATTTTCCCATGTATGTTAGTCCTCAGACTTCTAAATCTGAGGTTTGCTAGGTTAATGTACTGGTTGTGACCCTGCTCTAACATCCAAGAGAATAAAACAATTTAAAATGTCATGACTCTGACATCAATATCTAGTGAAGGTTTAAGCTGTGTTAAGGTCATATAAGCCCTTACAAGAGGGGGAAAAAAGTTACAGAAAACTCAAGCTGTGGCAGTGTTAGCTGGACAGCAGGCACTCTTCTGGAGTTACCATGCTGTGGGGAAGAGGCACACTGTCTGCAGGTGGTTTACTCTGTTATTGGCACTGACATAGCATCCAGGCTCTTGGAGCAGTTGGGTAACTGGAGGATCTCCTGAGCTGGACTCCAGACCTCACAGGACTGACAGGGGTGCCTGGCATACGTGGGTTTTGTGTTTGGGGTGGAATTCATCTTGCACAGCACATGGCTTCTAAGAGCAAGCACTGAAGGAGTGTATCTAGTGTTGGTGGAGAAGATGTGTCACTTTTAAAGGAAACTTTAAATCCCATTGAGAACACTCTATTTTTGTCCCTTTGTTTGATGCTCATTATATCCTCTGGTACCTGAATTGTTTTCTGTGCTCGTGTAGGTCCAATTTAACAAATGCCTCTTCTCTCACTGCCAACCAGCACAGCCAGCAACCTGCCTGGGCTGTGCTGGTGAACTGTCCCAGACCCAGAGGAGTGAGAAATGAAGGAAAAATCTGTAAGGAAATTTAAACAAAGAATTTGGAGGGAAAAAAAAAAATATTGCTCATTTATTAATGTGTGTAGTAAACTAAGAGTGAAGGGAGATAGTTGTGTTTTGAAATGAGCTGTTTTGAGGTGGTTGTGGGGCAGGTAGTAGTAGTATAAAGGTGACAGCACGTGTCAACAGTTTTGTTTCAAGCACGAGCTGTGGCCCTCACAGCAGGGACATCTTCCCAAGCTGCTGCTCAGGCCTGGAGTCCGTGAAGTGGAGAGGAAGAGGAGGGTACAGCTGCCTCCAGTCCTGTTTCAAAGTGCGTGGCTCAAGACAGCTGCAGTGGGGGTGAGGGACCCTATCTTCCTCACCTCCTGCTAGATTTTTCTTCACTACTATGTTTGATTTCAGATAACTATAAAAGGCAAAAAGTGCTTTACATGCTCTTTACAACACCAGATAGATGTCGTTACCATGCTGCTCCGTGTTATGGCTTAGATGACCTTTAAAGGTCACTCCCCTCCCAAAACAAGGTGCAGCATGGCACCAGTGGTGCTGGCAGTACCCGTGGGCAGCAGCCTTTGCTCTTGTGTGTTGTCCCCCAGCTCTTTGACCTGGTGTACCGGGAGGAGACCTTGCTGAACGTCATCAAGAGCGTCACCCGCAACGGGCGCTCCATCATCCTCACCGCCGTGCTCGCCCTCATCCTGGTCTACCTGTTCTCCATAGTGGGCTACCTCTTCTTCAAAGATGACTTCATCCTGGAAGTGGACAAGCTCCCCAACGAAACGTTACTGCCAGGTTGGTGCCAGAGACTCGTTTCCATGGGGAAGAACATCGTGGGCATTTGTTCCCCAGGGTCTGCGGCGTGTCTTCTGCCTTTGGCAATCCTGCTGATTGCCTCAGCAGCTTGACAATTTCTTTTTCACAAAGGATACTGTTTAAACAGAAAATAAAATATAAAACTAATCAAGCTGATTGGGACAAAGGAGTGCCAGGGTGTTTTTACAATGTTGCAATCTGCTGCGGCACAAAGAGGGATGGGGAGGAGAACCCCTGGAGATAGCACTTGGGCTTTTCTGCACATGGCTGAGATTTCTCCCCTCACTGTTGGCTACAACAGTTGAGAGTATCTAATTCTGCTACACCTACTCCCTCAGTTTAATTACAAGCAGACTTTAGGCCATGGTGGAGAAGGCTCTGCAGTGGGAGAATTCACTTCTGCCTCGGGTTGCCAGGTCTCAAGTGCTTATATTGGCTTTCAGTGGTGGGGTTTAGTTTCAGCCTAGCAAAAATTAATATTTCATCTGAACTAAGAGGCTAATTATAAATGAAGGGCATCAAAAAGATGCTCCTGTGAAGCAAAGGTTTATCTCTCTAATTCTAGTCTGCTCATAGTTGTAGAGACTGTATTAACCTCCCTCAAATACTTGCTCCATTAAATCTCTGTAGCAGACTTCTCTGTGCTGACCTTAGATTGCTTATTTTTAAGTTGCAAATTGGGTTTCTTTTTCCAACCTGCAGCATCTAACTTAGACTCACAAAGTCAGCAGGTGGGAAACACAGAAATTAAATTTGTTAGAGGAGTGGTTTGGGGTTTGTCTTGTTCTGTTGTGTCTTTGTTTTTTTTCCTCTGACACTCAAGCTATTCAGACAAGTATTATTTGACATTCCCACTGTTCTTTCTAATTTACTGCCAACCCTGTGAGGGACCCAAACCCTCCTGATGCTGTTATTTCACGTTTCCATGCAGATGGAGGAATGCCAAAGACATATTGCTGTGTGGCAGTAGGCTTGCTTTGATACTTGTAAGGCAGTCAAAGGCAAGTTTTCAAGGCACCCTCAAAATTCACTGTGTAGTAGAACATAGTAATTTTGGAACCGTTTCCGTTGCTCTCTGAACTTTGGAGCTGATGGAAAAGAAATGCACAATTTTGGTCTTTAATTCATAGAAGAATTTGGGGATTCTTGGAATTTAAAATAGTTGAATGTATAAACTGGAGAGTACTGTGCCTTTCTGAACTCTAGGATAATATATTATTCTAAATCTGCCTAGTCATTGCACACTGACTGTGGGGGGTACCTTAACATCTGAGAAGTGATCTGGCAAAATGTACAAAATGTTGAAGTATTCCTTTGATTCATCACCTTCTGTCTGTAGATCGCACAGAACCAGGTGAGACCATGACTGGGGAGTTTCTCTATTCAGATGTATGCAAAGCAGGGAGCAGTGAAAACTGTTCTTCAATCATCCCTTCAGACCGTGAGTACCTGCTGCTGAATTCCTAACTCACACCCTGAGTTTTCACACTTTTACCTTGTTAAGTACCTTAAATTTAAAAAAAAATAATAATTTCTTAATAAATCTCCTCTAATCAATTGGGGAGCAAAGCTATAATGGGAAGTAGGATTAATTTAGGCCAATAGTATAAATAACAGTTGTTACATGACATGATTAAACTAAAGAGACTTAAACTAAATGATACATTGATAAAAACAGTCACTCTTCCATTTTCTGCCTTATCAGCTTGAGAAGGAAGTGATGCAGTTCACCTCTGTGCAAAGTTTATTATTTTAAAACATTAGGCTGTTAAATGTGATCTCAGAGGATAATACCCTGTGAAATATGGAGCAGAACATCATTTATTGTCAGCGTTCTTCTGTCTAGCTGAGGAAACTCTTTTTAATATCATAGCAGGAAGTACTCAATGGATTAAGTAGACAGGGTGGGTTTGGGGGGTTTTGAGCTCAAAAAAGTGCATGTGAGATATTACTTGTAGCATAATCGCCAGCCTCAGATTGGATATTGAAATATTTCACTTTTATTTTCAAGAAAATGTAATTTACTTCTCAGAGATTTATGGTGCTGGCTGTGAGAGCCAGACAGAACCTATCACTATTTCTCTTAGAAGCAGAGCTCTTAGATGGTCAAATGTTTTAAAGGTCAATAATGGCCACGAGCCCATGCTCGTGAGAGGAGGTGGCTCTGTTTTGCTCAAGTGTCCTCTTTGATAAGCTAAGATTCAACATTGATACAAGAACAGCTGCTTTATTCAGCTCCAGGAGTGTGCTGCTTTCTCCTCATACACCCTTGCTGCAGGAAGGGAAACTCCAGAGACAGGTTTAAATCATATTTATCAAGCTGATATCAGCGTCTTATATGTTCAGGGACATTAATGATGCCCAAATCTTTGACCATTTCTCTGCCATCATGGGTTTTGGCTATTTCTGGATTGCACAGGGATATTTGGGCTTCTCTAAGGCTGTCTGTGGGAAGGTGGGATCTGCTCATGAGTGGTTTTTATGATGAAGTGAAAGTCATGAGACTTTTAATGGGTACAAGGAGAGTACATGAGATTAGGTAATTAATTCTAGCAGCTCTGCAGTTGAAACAGTGAAGTTGGAGGCTTCAGCCAAATGGAAGAGAGGGTCAAAAAAAGTGTGCTATTTTTTTTTTTTAGCAAAACACTGTTTCCATAAGCAGTGATATTTTAGCCATTTGAAAAATACAAGTTGGAGTTGCCATTTTGAGTGCAGCCCAAAGGCTGTGCAATCTGTCAGGCACCAAGGGAGAGTGTAAGAGGCAACACTTTGTCCTCTGAGCTGTCAAAAAGCTATGATTCTGTATAAACAGGCATCTGGTGATCTGAGCTATGCATGCTAACAGAAATGGAAAGAGATATTCAACCAAGTCAGAGACAGCAGTTCAAGCCCAAAAGAAAACTCTGCTGGTGGGGAGATGGGGGCAGAGAGCTGCTCTGGTGCTCGGCTCTTTGCAAGAGCTCAAGAGGTTTGCAACACTGGCTGGAAATGGGACAGTTTTTGCAAAGGGGAGAGAGAGCATCACCAGCAAAGAAGGGGGAGAATTGTTTAAAAGTGATCTTCTTGCCTTTGAAACGTGTCTTTGCTTGCTGTGTTAACAGAAGTGATTGCTGAAGAAATGGAGGAAGAGAATAAAGAGCATACGTGCGAGACGTTGCTGATGTGCATTGTTACTGTACTGAGTCACGGGCTCCGGAGTGGGGGTGGAGTAGGTGATGTGCTCAGGAAACCATCCAAGGAGGTAAATTATCACTGGATGGGGGTGGAAGAGTGATAACCATGTAGGGCTGGGGATCTGGTTCTGCTGGGGAAAACGTGTATACGCTCCCGTTGAAGAGATGTGGGAGCATCGCAACTGAAGGGACCACACTGTGTAACACAGTGAGATCTCTGCAGAATCAGGTCAAATAGGCTTCTACCTATCCTTATTTTAGGGCCTTCTGAGCTTGAGGGTTGTCTAGAATGGGGCCTGAAGGAACAGAAATGGGGTAGCCAACAGTCTGTGCTGTGGGAGTTCAGGGTCTGAAGAAACGAGATCAGTACGAGCTAGTGAATGAGCAACATGAGGGAGCAGAAGGAAAGTACACTGGTAGCTGATATCATGCCAGTGGGATGAGCTTCTGTGGGGAGCATCACTAGGGAAAGGGCAGATGTGTGAAGTGGGGAATGGATGAGAAGACAGGGATCAAGAGGGCTTGGAGCTGGGACTGTGGGAAGGAAGGATGGATGTTGCTTGGAGCTGTCGTCACCCAGCGATGGCCAGTCAGAGCAGCAGGTATTGCCCATGTCCTCCCTCTGTTCATTTCCCAAAACCAGCTTAAGCCCAAAGAAGCAGTCTTGGTCAGAGTGAATGTTCTCCTGGTTTGTCTGCAATTTCAAAGTGTTTTCTAATATTTAGCCTTATTTTCAGTTTATGAGTTAAATAGTTCTTCAGGAAAGTTGGACACCCAGCTGGCAGGATGATTCTGAAAGTGGGGTTAGGTGTTGGGGCATTCAGACCTGCAATAAGCCTGGAACGGGTACTGGGATGTCCAACTTAGTGTCCACATACAAGGTTGTTAGCAGAAATTAAATGAATACTGTCAAATTCCAAAAAAAAGACTTTGTGGTCAACACTGGTACGTCATTTCCATCTAAGCAGATTAAGGTTAAGGTAATTTGGATGGATTTGCAGGGTGAGGAGAGAACAAGTTTCAGTGTGTGTGAGAGAGAAGAGGGCAGATTTGGACACAGTAAGCAGAAAGAGCATGCTGGTAGCTGACTAATTTGGCTTTTCTTTCAGTTATCTCACATATTAGTTTCACTTAATGTCTTGAGTTGTAAGTTATCACTGGAGAGCATCAGAAATGGAGGCTCTGAAGGGAGGGGTTGTGGGGCAGCAGACAATTGCTGAAGTGAGAAAGGCACTGCAAGGGCTTGATGTGCATCTATTTGGATTGTTAATTATGAATATGTATCTTGCAGGAACCTCTCTTTGCTGCTAGAGTGATATACGATCTGTTATTCTTCTTCATGGTCATCATTATTGTCCTTAACCTGATTTTTGGTGTGATCATTGACACGTTTGCTGATTTAAGGAGTGAAAAGCAGAAGAAAGAAGAAATTTTAAAAACTACTTGCTTTATTTGTGGTAAGTGTAGAAACACACTTAAGAAGAAGGGCTCAGTCAGAGGGAGCTGCAGACTCGCAGAGAACAGGAGTCTTGAGTTACTGGCTGTTCCTACCTTGCATTCCTCAGCTAGTTGATATTCTTGGGTACCACGTGCCCAGGAGCTTGGCAGGAAGAAGTGATTGGGGAATGTATGCCCAGTATGCAGGCTTTCCTCAAATCTTCAGTTCCTGTTTCTCCTGTGCTTCAACTAATAATTTCCTACTGGAATGGGGGAGTTTTTGGTAGTCATTTATTTCCAAGCAAGCTGATTGCATACAAGGTAGCTACCTTTTTATAACCCAAAGTTTTCTGTTCTGTGTAATAAGTGTGAGCAGAGCTTGTAATGTCTTCTTTCCTCTCTTCACTGCATTGTGGGCATTTATTAGAAAGCTCATCCCTGTTACTCAGTGTTGATTTAAGGATGATTGTGGCTGTTCAGTTGTGAGGCAGACTGTAGGAACAAGTTTTGGTCTTGGAACTTACTTTCTTTGTACCAGTTTGCAAATACTTCTGTGTCACTCTTGTAGGTTTGGAAAGAGATAAGTTTGATAACAAGACAGTCACGTTTGAAGAGCACATTAAAGAAGAGCACAACATGTGGCATTATTTGTGCTTTATTGTCTTGGTGAAAGTAAAAGACTCAACAGAATATACAGGACCAGAAAGTTACGTGGCAGAAATGATCAAGGTGAGTTTGGAGTTTTGCTGTTTTTTTTTTTTCCAAGATTGGACCAGTCTCCTGGCATATTTGGTAAATATAGTACTCTATATTTTATTTATTTTGTAAACAAAGACTTGGACTAGGGCTTTTTTTGACAATAATAGGCTTAACCCAATGCCCTTCCTTTTAGAAGCACCTTCTAAAGGTAATATACTTAGGATTTACTTGGCAAGGTAACTCGGTGGAAGCCTCAGTGTTGATGGGTGCAGGCAGGGGCACTGCTGGGGGCCCTAACAAACAACAGTAACAAATACAAATATCTTAAGCTGACTTGTAGGATTTGCTGTCATACAATTTTATCTTATTATCATAAAAAACTGAAATTAATAGCTGTTCAATTGTGCGGCCTTCTAATGAGAGAATTAAAAGCCTCACCTCTGCCAAGCTGCAGGTTCAGAGCTCCTGGAAGGAGATCTGAAACCCCAATTATTAATTGTGTGTCTTCTGTCTGCTTAGCAAAAGCTGTTTCTCTTTCTAACACTTCAATTAGTTGTTTCTTTATTTGCCTTCAGAGGAACAGATAGCAGAGATACTTGTCTTATTTGTCTGCAGCTTTTTTGCTGCTGAAGTACAACCTACCTTGAAATGGGCAATTTGTCACGGCCAGGTCAGCATGTAAATCCCACCAAGATCTCTTAGAGGTTAAACTTGTTACTTTGGGGTCACTACAGTGTATGTCCTAGTTCTGGATTTCTGCCTCTGTAATGAGGGCTTAAAGAAATCTTGTGAGCAGTCACCTGACAGAGGATTAGTGTGGTGTGATAACTAAGTACATCACTGCTGCTTTCTAGTCAGACTGATTATGTTGCTCCCTGTATTTATTCCCAGCATCACACTGAGGGGAAGCATTCTACTCTTCAAAATATTTCTGCTTGTAAAAGATGATTCTGGGTTGTGTTAAAAGTAGCAGGGCTTTTCTTTAAAAAAAAAAATCTTCAATTAAGGAACGATTTATTAGCAAATTATTTCAGATGAACAGCTCAAATTAGATAAGGAGCAAAAGACTAGTCGTGGAATATGCCTGCAATAGAAGTCCTCTGGTTTTTGCATTTATCAGAGCTCCCATTCATACAAGTGTCAGCAATGACTAATTACTATGTGTTGAATGGGAAAGCACATAAATTATGCATAGAGCAAGTGTCTCAGGCGGCTGCAGTTTTATAGAGCTCTAGGTAGAGGTTTGGAGTGGATCTTGTAGTTGGTGGCATTTTGCCTCTCACGAGCCAGGTTTAAGCACAGAACTGGGAGCAGGGTCTCCCTGCAGGGCTGTTGAAAGCCTGGTGTGGCTGCACGGGCTGGGGAACAGGGGGTGAATTCCCTGTGCACAGCAGCAGCCTGGCAGGAGCCAGCCCAGGCGTGAGCAGGGCAGCTGGGGCTGCGCCCGCCCCGACACCGCTTCCCAGCAGCAATTTGCAGTCAATGGATTCCCTGGAACTGCCCTGGCAAAGCCTGCTCTGAAATGAGAAGTGATTTCTTTCCATCGTCCTTGAGCATGAGAACCATTCTTTCCTGCCCTAGGACTACCCAGTGTGAGACATGATGAATGGTTCTCTACCAGACATGTTTTAAATACCTGTAAGAGTCAGAAATCCCATTTATCTGCCTAAGATGTATCTAGAAGTAACTTAAGGCATGGTTCAGCTTTTACTCAGGCTTCATCCCATGAATCTATAAGGACAGGCAAAACCCTTCAGTGTGCCAGTGGTTCCAGAGGTGGAGTTTCACCCGTTGGAGGTGATGGTTTATTTTCTACTGCCACAGGGGGCAAATGGGAACCTGCGGTTGCTTAATGTCTGCAGCTAGCAGAGTCCCCTGGAAATCCTCCTGCTGTCATGGTTAGATGTGAAAGGGATTTTCTCCCCACGTTTTCAGACTGAAGGTGGCACTGTAACATCTTTGATAATGGCAGAGATGGGGCATGGCTCTTCCATGGGCTGTTTGGTGGTACCATTGTTCAGCTGCAGTTTATACCCATTTTTAGGAGCTGAGGGTAGGAAGCATCATGTGCTTCAGCTCTTACTGTGATGACAGAGTACACCTCAAATACACTTCACCTTTGCCCTGACTTCCAGCAGAGTATCTTTTTTAGATTTCTGCCTTTTGGCAACAGTGGGGAAAAAAAAAACCAATTTTTTTAATTGCCTCTGCTGTTTAGTATTTGTGGGTTGTTCCAGCACCAGAGAACATCAAAAAAAAAAACACAGACCCTAAACACAAACCCACAAACAAATTTAGGACACTAAAATTATATTTACCATCAGCTTGTGAGTTGCATCCAGTGCTGTTTGTAGAGTGCTTTAAAGATATTTTAAGCACTGTGGTATCAAAAGAATCCTGGACAATTTCACTTACGCCAGTTAGTGAATATTCAGAAGCTTTAAGAGTGATCTTGAATTCTGATGTTTTCTTTTCTAAAAATAATGTGTGTGAAAGGCAATTTTGAGGCTATCCACTCTGCTGGGTATGGCAGAGCTGAATCTTCCTCATAGAATTCATCTTGTAGCCTGCAGGAATCTGACCCGGCATAAAAAGAAATTGTAGCCTTGAAAAATCAATGATTAACTGCAGTTCTTTAGTGAGTTTTGTATTTCTTCCTAGACAGATGCTCATCAAGTTAAAATCCAGTGTGCAGAAAGAAGTCACCAGCTAAACTTGGAAACCAAGTTTAAGGTTTATAGAAGTATTTTGAACACTAGTAATGATAAAAATAATAATTAAAAAAAACAGTGATCTGACAAACCAGAATCTAACATCCTGTACTGGCAGTCCTGATTTCTAACTAACTTCCACAACGTTTTCCTGACAGAAATAGGGGTCTGTTGGTGCCTGTGGTCTCAGGCTGTTTGTGTTGGGTGGAGCCTGGTGTGCTGGGTGTGTGGGAAGCCAGGCTGCAGTGGTCCTGTAGCTACACGTCCAGGCTTCTGATAGGAGCCTGGAATTCATCAACAGCTCTTCCCCCTATAAATAGGGATAATATTGACTTTCAGCTGTAGGGTGAGCATGTGCCTGCTGTGATAGATGATGTAAAACTTGGGAGAACTTGAGAATCTTTGCTGGGAATCTCTGGAGGACTGCACGGGGGGAGGAAATGGGGCTGCTGGTTCTGTTTGATGGAGAAGCTGAGCTTGTGTACACGCCCCAGGAGCTGCTGTGGTGACTCATCCACTGTCCTGAAGTCCTCACCAGCGCAGGGTGATAACCTCATGGATTTCAGGGGATGGCAAACAGAAGCTTGGCATGAAGCAGCTCCCCTTTGAAATGCATTCTTGAGCCACCCCTTAATATCTGTTTAATGGCACAGACTGTAGGATAGGATTTGAGAAAACATCTAGTGGTAATGGAGATGGTCTTTAATTCTTGGTGTTTATAAAGCCCTTCTGATGACCTGACTTCTGGCTGACTAAATTGCTGCAGATGTGCACTTAAGATAGGGAGGCTTCAGGATGGATCAATGGCTTTGGAAAGTGTTTATCTGGGAAGTATGCTAATGGTGCTGCCGAGCTGGTAGTCCAGTGCCTCCTGTTGTTTCCCAGGAACAAAGGCACACGGTTCAGCTGCTGTGTGGCTTTGTAGTCACCAGGGAAGATCAGGTGATGTCTGAATAATACCGAGTGTGTAGGAGGTGGGGGGATCCACTTATGGTGTTGGCCAGACATTGACATCCACGCCCAAATGACTAATGTGAACTCAGTGCAACTCCCTGCAGATTAGTTCATTCAAATGTCTTATCTCCCCATCCTGCCCTGAGAATTTCTTCTTGAGCTTTCTGCCTTCGGCCGCGGTTGCTGCGGCAGCCTCCCTAGCAGCAGCCCCACAGCACAGCTGGCACTGGAGTCTTGGCAGGGCTCTCCTGCAAACAGCTGCTTGCAGGCATTTAGAATATGCAGAGGTCCTCCTGTGCAGCTCGCTGCATGGCAAACCACACGCACACTGGGGGCTGGGGTGAGTTGCTGCCCGTGCAGCTGCGGCGTGCCGGCCCTGGCACCGGCAAATATTTGCATACCCCGGCGTGGGGATTTGCATCTGCACCCTCCCAGCAAGGTTTGATCAGTGTGGGGAAGAGCTGCGTGGCTGCAATTTTATGCATACTAAACACTAAAGAATCATAGAGATCTTAAAGGTCTTTTCCAACCTAAATTACTCTAACTGTTCACCCAGCACTGCCGGGTCACCCCTGAACCATGTCACTAAACGTCACATCTACACGTCTTTTAAATACCTCCAGAGGTACAAATATCTTGTTTGGAAAAATTTTGAGCATAAAGCTTCCTAACTAGCTCTTGCACTTTCCACTGATTTCTCATCTATTGTTGCACCAAGCAGGATAAATGTCATTAACCTGTTCTGCAGAAGCAAGGTAGAGAGGTGTGAGGCATTGCCCAAGCTCACGTGTCCATCTGGGGAGTGCTGAGTCCTGAACCTGAGGCGACTGGTTTGTGAAAAGATGAACTATTTATAAATAGGAGTGATGGTGCAGATATCCATAGAGGAATTTGGGATGGAAATGAAGGCTAAAAGATTGCCTTGTGTGCCCTAAGTAACCTCTTTGTACAAAACCAGGAGATTTAAATCTACTGTTGGGCTTTTTTCTTTTTGCCTTGAGCTGTGTGCTGTGCCATCGTTGCAGAGTATGAGTACTGCTCTGAGTGTCCAGTGCAACCTGTAACTAATGCCCAGACGTAGCCTCCTAGGAGAAAAAGGCAAAGTTTCATTAGTTCCAGGCCCTTAAAATCACATCCTTCCAGAAGTGCAAGTTGGACTTGAAACCTCTCCTATGGAGTTGAAGAGCCAGGCACGGTGGCTGCTGTGCTCTGAAGCTCAGCAGAAGTGTGTGATTCACAGCCTGCACGAGGCTCCCGTGATGGTGGCTTTGGAAGGTCACTGTGTCTCCAGGCCCTGCACTGAATGTCATTTGCTTGGTGGTGGCCAGGACTGCACTTGAACTGCAGCACCTGTAGGAATAACAA